CAACGTGGTCTAGTGGGAGGCGTCCCTGCTTGTGGCAGAAGGGTTGAAATGCGGTCACTTTCAAGGTCACTTCCAATCCAAACAATTCTATGTTTCTATGAAACAGAAATAGGAGGAGTAGGGGGACTGTACAAGGATAAAGTTTTTCTATTTGTATGTGAATATTGCTGAGAAAATAACCAGCTTTGATATACCTATTCAGACTCCTATGCAGCTGGAGTAACTCCACAGCAGTCGATAGTGCTGGTGAGGATGTTTGTGACTTTAGTCCTGCCAGGACCACCTGGGGATAATGTCTGGACCAGGGACTAATATTTGTGCCTTTCCTGAGGTGACACAGAAGGAAGCTTTCCTCATCAAGTTTGCCAGCAGACAGAAAAACAAAGGTTTGGGGCAGGGGGAGGAAACCCGCACATGTGGAAGAGCTCCGATTCCCGTCAAAAAGCTGGAGAAGTGGTGGACAAAATACCAGCTCTTTGGATAATTACAGCAGCCCTTTGTACCTTCAAAAGCCCACTGTTTTTTCTTCACGTCACTTGTGAGTGGACATTTTGGGGAAAAGTGAGTAAAATGCTGTCATTTCAGCAGCAAAAAAAAACAATGGCAAGTGAAGACATCTCAGTGCCTGACAAAGGAAACTCCCCTGCATCAGGCTGACCTGAGCATCATATTTCCCTCACTGGCTTCTGCTGCAACTTGTCTGAAAGCCAGTGGGATTTATGCTGCTGGAATATATGGTTATATGGTTTATTTAGCTATTCTTACTGACCCATAAATATACCTACTGTATAATTTATTGGAATGTAAGTAGTTCAGTCCTGTGATGTTTGTGATAGAAAATCTTCACTTTGAGCCAGTGGGAAATTTTGTTAGGGAGGGCAGTGCAGGACTGGCCTCTGCTTTGCCTTTTTTTCTTTCCATTGCAACACAATTAACCTTTTCATTAGAAGAGCTCTGTTCCAAATAAGCAAACTTCTTAATGTGCATTACTGAACCATTTCAAGTTGTCTCTTGCTTTGAAACAAAACATCTTTGTTCCAGCCATGCATGACATTTGAAGACCTATTTATACAATGTGTCAGCTCCATTTGTTTTCTTCATCCTGATATTTTCCTCTGTATTTTTAGTTAGCCATCCAGATTGCAATGAATGAGGTTGCTTCTGGTTTCCTCCTGTGGTTCTCCAGACTGAGGCACTGGCTGCCTTTGTCCTTTCTCCACTTTTGTGGGTAGAGGTGAAACAACCCAAAATCAGACACAATTCTGCCTACTTCATCCTCTTTGTACTGAGACCAGCAGCACGAGGCTGCTGAGGGATGGAGAGATGGCAGAAGGACCTGCTGTTATGACAGTTTCTCTCCTGATGTCCTGCCTGTGGGAAGCACACGGCTGCAATCCCTTCTGCTGGAGGGGTCTCACTGAGGTACAGACTTCCAAGCTGCATCAGTAAATAAGCCCTCCCTGCAAAATACTTGCTTTTTCCTTAGACAGTCATAATTTCTCCTAATTCTCTAGCTATTCTTGTTTGGCAGCACAATGCTAACACATCCAAGAAAATTAAACACAAAATTGAAAAAGAAAAAATAACCATATCATGATACTGGGTAATAAAACTTTTAACATCCTGATTTTCAGTGGGTAAACAGTTATGGTGCTTGCCTCATCCTCTCCCTTTCAAAATTTTTATCTATATTAGGATATGTCTTATTTTCCAGAAGGGATCCAGGGTAGTGCTATGCCTGCTGCTCAAGCAGCAACATAATGTCTAGACCAGTATTGGCACTTCCTAGTAATAAATGAAAATCTAAGTCCTTTTTTGAAATCTTTTACACAACAGCTTTTACACAACTTTGCCAGCTGAAGGTTTCAAACTGCTTTAACACATAAAGGGTGCCAGGAAACTACTACAAGGCTCACTTTAACCAAAAAGGAGCCTGCAGGTGCCAGCCCAGCAGTGGTAAGCCTGGAGCAGCAGTAGCAGAGCCTCTTTTGCTCTCTCCAATATTGTCATCACCAGGAAGGTTGGGGAAGAAGGGTGAAACAGCTCCATGCACTCAACACTGCTCCTGCCAGCTACTTCATGGACTGCTCAAAGCCTGGTAATACCAAAGAAGGCTTTTGCATGTGATGGGCTCCTGCTGCAAGAAGTGGAGCCAGTGGCAAGTGAGGAGGAATGCCTTTGATACTGCGTGCTTCAAAAGCTGGGCTTGTGAGTTTTGCTGTGTGTTCCAGCAGCTGGGGTAGAGCTGCGTGCATGCTCCCCGCCAGCACAAATGAAACCAAGACATCCATAGCTATGCAATAGAAGAGTTTGATCTCCTGCACTCTGGCTCTCTGTCAGACGCTCCCTCTTCCTCTCTGCAGCAGTACAGAGTGCGGTGTTGAAACCTGTAAGCCTGTGTGTATTTATGGGCTCTGTGATGGGAACTGCAAAGCTTAACACGAAACAGTTGAGCAAATGTTGCTGGCCACAGCCACAAAACCTGTCCTCATCTGTTCCATGATTGTGGTGGAAAAGAAAATTCCTTCAGTTTTATTTTCCTGTTTAAAGATGAAGGAAAAAAACCTGTCAAAGTAGATGGAATTTAGTCCAACTGATGTGACACCTGGATTAGCAAAGCAAAATATCATCTCCTCTGAGTGCAGGAACTATGTTCATGCATAGTCAAGGCCACCATGAAGACACTGCAGCCCCATATGGACAAGAGACAGCTTCACTAACTCCAGGCTTGGAGCCTGTCTCTGTGTAGATTACTGTCACTCTTCACCATGCATTTTCAAGTCAGTTATTCCAGTGACTCAGTTATGTTTCACTAAGAAGCCACAGACACCTCTGATCCACATTAAAGATGTTGGTGAGATAGGAGAGGAAGGCTCCACTCCATGCATTGTCTCATGTAGACTGGGAAACTGGTCAACACTGTGACTTGGGAACTTGTATGATGGGGAAGCATAAACAACAACCACATAACAATAGAAATGAATTTTATTTTGTAAAAAGTTATAAAATGAATATTGTACAAAAATAAAGTCTGTAGAGAACTTTGGTTGATTAACACAAATGACTGAGACATATAATTGCAGGTGGAGTAAAAAAATCCAGAGAAGCACACTCCTGTCTTCAGTAAGGTCTAAAAACTTTAAAAAAAAAACCCAAAAAAACCAACCAAAACAAAAAAAAATCACAAACTTTACCCTTTTGTATTTTGAACATAGAGATTTGCTTTGGTTGCAGCCTCTGCAAGCTGCACAGAAAATGCTTGAGGCAAGTTTTCATCAGCTGGGGCAAGGGAAAGCACAGCCCTGGGCACTGTTGCTGATCAGCTGCCCCACAGCGCAGCTGACCCTCCGCCTGGCAGGCACTCAGTGCCCACACTGTGCCAGTGTGGTGGTGTCACCACCCTGAGCAGCACGGAGGGCACAGCGTCCCCGTGGCAGTGTGAGAACAGACCCTGCAGCTAGCTCTCCAGGTCTGTCCTCCCTCTGCCCAGGAAAGCGGTGAAGCTGGGGATGAATTACATGCTGTACACCTGGTACACCTTTCTATGCCTGTTCTGGACTTTTTTGACCTCTAGAACCTTCTTCAGCAGTGCCCCAAGGGCCCAGGGCTGAGTATGGAGAGCCATTACATGCATGAGATAAAAGGTTGGACCATGGTTTTCAACTAGGATATTTTTTTTTCATGTTGCTTTTGTGCGAGTTGATGCTTCACTGGTTGTCAGGTATGATTAGTGACCTGCACTCCTGCTCTTGGGGTAAATGTCTCCAGAATGAGAGCTTGTGTTAGAGGTCACATACAAACACCTTTGCTGTACAACCTCCCTCCTCCTAAGGAAACTTGGACTGTTCTGCTGCATGGGCATGATCCTGTAATGTTTCAGCAAATTATACAAAAACACTCTGGTTATTTAACACAACTGTTTACTTGCAGGCTATATTAAATCCAGGACTAACTAGTAAGAGGGATTTAACCTCTTCTATATGGAAGTATGGAAGGAAAAGCTTAAATAAATATAACTAGAAATTATAAGGCTAAATGTTATTATTTTCCATTTGTCAATAGTTATATGAGGTCAGTTGGCATAAAGTGTGAGAAAAAAAATGTGGCTACATTTAAAATATGAATAAAATTAGTTTTTCTAACAAATTGCTAATGTTGAACCAAGTCCTGCAACCCTCACTTGTCCAGAGCCATTGTTGCTCCTGCACATGCATGACTGCAGTAGTTTTCAAAAGGCTTAGTGACAGGAATAAGGGCTGCAGGCTTCAGCACTACCTTTTGTGAACATAATCAAGATTTTGTTTAAAAGAAAAAAAGGTAAAGTAAGTGATTTTTTGCATTCAAGTTAACACCTTTGATCAAAAGCATGGACCGTTGTTCCCAACGTCTTTGTCTCTCTATATCCCCAAGTGCCATCTACTTTGGCACCTTTGAAAGACACTTTAATAAATAAGGAGACTCATTACTGAACTGAAATAAATAAAAATAACTTAAATCTCAATAAATATCTTCTGTATATTTATGTCTCTGAAGGGATGCATTGCATCAAGTAGTCTCTCTCAATCACAATGACCAAACAGAAATGTAGATATGCAAATGACGTTAGTCCTTTGTAAACCTAAAGAAATAGATTTTGTATAGGCTGGGCTTGTTATTTCTCTTACTATACTAGGAAGAAGTGCTTAAAAACTCAACTTGTTTTCACAGGTAGCAGAAGAACAAAATCCTACACTCATTTTGAAAAAAAACAAGATGGAAATAACCAAACTTAGCCAGTAAGCAGAACTGTTTTGCTTCATAATAACTTGAACCTGGTCGTTTTGATATTTGCCCAATATCATCTTACTTACAAGGGTAATCTTACAGCTTAGGAGTTGTCCTAAGCACTCAGGAACTGCCCTCCAATGAGCAGTAGCATAATGTGTCTTTCAGTACAGCTGAGGGCACAGGGGATTAGTAAGGGACTCCTAAGCTACTTCTTAGCTAAGCTTCTTGGTATAACTGGTATAATCATGGCATAACTTGGTATAACTTGGTATAATCATGGCATAACTACAACACAGTGTGGTATGGCCGGGTTGTGTTTTTAAGCACGTTCCTCATGGATTGAGTCTCACTGATGGTGGACTGAGTCAAACAGGAAAGGTAGCGTGCACATCATCCATCCATCCATCGTCATCTCCACCTGAGCTTTTATCTAAATCCCCATAGGACGTCAGAAGTCTCCATCCTTCTACTCTGCTGCATGCCTTCTTATCCCCAGGCTCTCATGGCTCCTTAGTCTGTGTTCTTGGTCCTTTTTCCTCCACCTGGAGCAGACACTTCCCTGGGAACCTTGGTCCCTCTCTTTGCAGCATAGCATGAATGGAGAACTGGTGCTGCCTCGACATGCAACTATCAGACGCATCCACACCTTTTTGCGGAATGTTTTTTCAGTATGTGGTAAACCAAGTTATCATCCAAAAAGGACAGGTCATCATCAAAGGCTATGGGTCTGCAACAGGCTTGCCTCACTTTGTCAGTGACTAGTTTTTTCTTTTTGGTTAAGTTTTTTAAAATTTTATCATAGGTGGTCTCAGCTGCATCACAAGATCCACTGCAATACCGGAAAATTAGCTCTTCTTTGGTTTCATATCCCAAATCCAAGTCGGTCACATTTAAATGTATTTCTGTTAAGACACATCCTCGATTTTTGCCCTTTTGATTCCTCCTTCCTTTTTTGTTGGAATTCTCTATGTTTGTGGCTGCATTTTGATGGTTTCTCTCCCGCCTAGAAAAAATTGGAGTCTGTTTATCTGGTGACCTCCTCAGTCTTTTAATTGTGGCTTGAATAAAGTCCACTACCTCATCAAACTGATCTGGATAATCCTCTGGCATATTAGCTGTTTGGGAAAGAGAGAAAAGGCTTTGTCACACATCAGTTATCATGAAGTTTGTCCATTCACAACTCAAAAATATTATGCACATGCAAGCTTCAGAACACATGCCCAGGACCCTCAGAAATCAAGAAGAATTTGGAATGATTTGGATCATCACAGAAACTCATGTGAGGAAAGAGAAATGAGATGTATTTGTATTTCTGTCCTGATGCTTGGTAGCATTTCAGCACATCTTTTAATTTTGAATGAGCCCTGTCAAAATGGAAGGAAAAACGTCATGGTATGAATATTAGTTAATATAGATGAAGCTGCTGTAAAGAGGTTACACAGACTCTTCCCAGCAAAGAAGCAACAGGAAGAGGTTTTTTTTAAAGCAATTTTTTTGATTATTGTTGTTATTTTCTTTTCACACCAGCAGCAGTTAGTATTGCCAAAGCCACCTGTCAATAAGGTTTTTGGGCATGACAGAAGGAGGATTTCCTGGGGTACCAGACTGAGATATTATTCCTGGATGAATGCCTAGGTTTTTACTGCTTCTAGGGGATAATTATTTTCATAGCTTTTGAAAAATTTTTCATGTAAATGTTTTGTATCACAAGATGCTGATCACACTGAGTAGAAATAGGTCAGAATAGAAGTATTGTGTTAATTTTTTAGTGAAATATTATTAATGGATTTTCCTTTTACAAAAATTTAATTTTTATTCTATTTAGTTTATCACTTGGTATATCATTGATGAATTACTCAAGTAAACTGTACAATGAAGTCAATGAAATGTTTTGATACTAGCAGAATGAACCTCATCAAGAAGGGTGAAATTAAATGTGCTCTGAAATGGTTCCAAATTTTGCAATTTCATCCTGATTTAGAAAAAAATGTATTTTGAAATCCTTAATCTTCCCATGGACTAAATCCTTCAAAATTACCTGCTTTAGTGAATACAGAGAACTAACGGAGGGTCAGGCTGTCAGGATCCTGTGTGTGGATGCCCTTACACTGCATTATTAATGACTGTATCTTAAACTATACTGCAATACTGAGATTTTTTTTTATTATTTATTGCCCCAAAAATTAAGACTTTTTCATTTCCTGTAAGTCCTAAGAGGATGCTCCTTTCTGTACTCAACTCCTAAAACCCAACACGTAACACCAGCGTCACTCCAACCTTGCATATATGGGAATATCCATCTCCAAGACCCCTACAAATATTGCCGGCACACCAAATACTGGGAGATGTTATCTAGTGAAGTGCACCTGCTCAGGAGCTGGTACCTACACAAAAGTTCCCACTCAGTGAGGTGCTGAGATTGGAATGGTTCCTTAGGCAAAGGCTCAGCTCCACATTGCCCTAATGAGCACACTAAGACTGGAACCCCAGTGGGTGACCAGGCAGCACAGGTATCCAGCTCAAACAGAGTAGCATGGACTTGGTTAACAGAAGGCAGGAAGGCACGAGGCTGCCCCCACTACCTAGCAAAAGTGCACTCTCATATCCTCAGTAGAAGCACCAAAAACAGAGGAGATGGGAGGGCAGCAGAATTCTAACTCCGCCAGTGCAAAAACCTGCTGATACAGAGAGCATCAGGAATAGGGACTGCTGCCTGAAGTGGCCACATCCTAGAGGCCTCCCTCCATCAAGGATCAGAGATATATGTTTTCTAATGGATGGATCCAGAAAAATAGTTTAGACTGGTGAAAGAATAATGGAGGCTGGAAACCTTGTACCTCCACATAATGAAGGCAAACAGAGTGCTATAAACTGTAGTTTGGAACTGAAAGAAGTGAATTACACTTTGTTTTATCCATGCTAAAATCAACAATCTTAGAGACCAGTGTTCATGTTCAAAGACATGAAGGAGGGATGGCTGCTATCTATACAGCTAGGTGGAACATGAATAAGGCAGGACCTGGCCCCATATCCCTGCAACGCCAGTGATAAGTGCACCTTTCCTGCACTCCTCTATCTCTGTAGCAGGTATCAAAATACAAATGTGAGCCATACCTACTGGAGAGCGGTTGCTTGGATGGATGTGTCCACTGGATGCACCAACCAGCTCCTTTGCAGAATAGGTTGGTCTGCCTACTCTGTACAAGGACTGCCCAACCAAGCAAGAACCAGGCCCAGGCGATAGGCAGGCTATGTTCCTTTAAAGCAGCAAGGGCTAGACATCTTTCTAGACTCAGTTAAAAAAGATGACCCTGAAACAGATACAGATGGAAAGTAGCTGCCAGAAGGCACTTGTTGCTCAGGACTGAGTAGTTTCTAGATTTCCTTCACAGAAACTATTTTCTTAGTCAATAATCAAATAAGAGAAGGAGGCAGCCCCAAGGATATGGCTCTAGAAGTGTCCTTCTCCACTCTGAACCTCAACTGCCCTCCCCTCATACCACTGTGACTATGCCAGCCCACACCTCTTTCATGTATTTCTAGCACAACCTTTGTACCTTTGTATGATGCAATGAGACCTTGGCTATAGGGAGAGCGAAACACAAATGTAGGGAAATATATGAGGGCTCAAGGGCTTAACAAAATTAATGCAGTGATCAAGCATCAGGAAAGGGACAAGAGACAGCTACAGGGAAAGCCAACTTATATGTAGATATTATTGTTTGCAACCTCCAGCCTTGCACTTATCTCAAGCCTGGCACACTGCCAGTACAGTGAGACTAAGAAAGACAAAACTGGATAAACTGAAAAGATAGTCCAACTGGGCGCATCACATTAAATTGCAATTGAGGGGCAAAAATACCACCTACCTCTGTGAGAGTGCTATAGGCAGAAGTGTATTTTGGCTAAATACCAATCACATAGGTACATGGTTTGAGCACTGTTCTGCCAACTGTATTCTGGAGGGTAGTGACAGGAAGAGGGCAGATCCATGTGGTGGCCTGTGTTCCTGCTAAAAGTGCATGCTGAGATCTATCCTGGTTTATGTGTGATTCCTACTGCAGCTGCACCAAGGGAGGCATTGCCACTGAGAGCTTTCTGCACTGTGAGTGGCCTGTGATATTTCAGGTTAAGGAAACCAAATGCCACTAAAGAGCCCCATGCAATGCTGGTGATGCAGACATGCTCCATCTACCCTGCAGAAGGTGTGAGCAGTAGGGCAAAATGTAGATCAAATAATCAAACCAACAGCATATCCAAGCAGGGAAGTCCTACTTACAGAGACAAGCTTCACCCAGAAAATGGGGTCATTGACAGAATGACTGGTCCTGCTAATGTCATTAAAGCTTGAACATGAACTGTGCAAGAAGTGCTCCAACACTGATAGAGCTGGGGATTCCTGCTCTGCTCATGCCCTACTGAAACAGCAGGATATATTCTGGAGAAACACTGGGAAGAATGCCAGCACTGTTAGTAAGATGAATTCCAATTTCCTTCATCCATTGTGGACTTTCTCTTCAGCCCATGGAACTGGAAACTATCCTATGCAGGTATCCAAATCTACCAGAAAGACTCCTGCAGTGACACCCAATATTTGGAGATTACATCACTGGAGGAGACAAAAGGCCTGTGGGTGATAATAGGAGACTGGTGGAAACAGTGGGCACAGAGCTCCCATTGAGAAAATGTGAAGATCTACTTGATCTTCACTGGTTACTCTCTGCCCACCTAAACTACATGTGCTGGTACAGGCTACATAGGTACATCTAATCAACAGAGTGGCAGCTGCATTACTGGGCTACTCAATGAGGCCTTGCATGTTTCTGTAAGCAACACACTCCTCTGCCTGTGGAGCCCCAAACCGGTTGTGAGCAATGCAGCAATGTTCTTTTGTCAGCTTCCAATGCACTTCCAAGGTATCCCAGGTTTGCTTCCATAATTTAACAGTCTTAGCAACAGCTCCAATCCCTGCAATCAACTAATTGTCTACTGCTTAATAAATCAGTCATCAGCGTGTTTACAAGCAGCCACTAGGAATGGGTCACAGGGGTCTGGAAGACAGATTAACAACCAGGAGTGAAGGGAGACTTGTCTCAGCCCTGTGCTGAGGTACCAGTCATGACTCAGTAGGGATATTCAGCTGTCCAACAAGCATGGGTGTGACGACCTAGAGCCTGAAACTGCTGAAATAGGACCCAGAGCAATCCAGTGGAAACAGCAGCAATGACACCAGGCATGATGGATTGAAACAAGGCACTTGAGGTAAATGCTGAGGAAGCTACCACCAGACATCATGCATCAATAAGCAATCACCTCTATGACTAAACTCTGTAAAATGCTAATAAGACAGAAGGGAAGGTGGAGAAGACTGACTGCAGGATGTCCTCATCCTGATAGGCACTTGGTAGATGCACTCCAGGGATTCTGAGACCTCTCTGCACCACAGATATCACATAACATGCTGAGCACTTGTTTGGTCTCTGCATTGTTTTGAAGTTCTGCTGGGGGCAATGGGATTGCTGAGAAGAGCTGTGGGCCAGGAACACCAGCACACTCATAGGGGCTGCCTGAGCATGTAGTGATGGTTGTACACTGAATAAAGCTGTTTGAGAGAGGGGTACTTTGTTACCCTTCTGTCTGCAATGTTGTTCAGAAAATGTTTACAGTCTCACGGCATCTTTGCTTCTCTCACACAGCACGGACTGTGCTGTCTTGATTGTGCAACAGACAGAGTGTGCTGGGGGGGATTTCACACCCCTGCAAGGAGCAGATACACATTTTGCATGTGTGTGTGTGCTTCATTTACACATACGCACACACAAATATAACTGATTATACACACACACACACATTTTTTCAAAACAAACTAGTTTACTGACAACACTTGCCTTCTGCTGGAAAAGCTGAGAGAACAAACACATGACAGATGCCTGTAATGCAGTGTAATGTGCCAGCAGAAATTGCTGGGATAATGGTGTTAAAGCAGCAAAGATCTCTGAGGAGTAGTCCCCGATCTCAAGCTCCACAGTGTGAAGGAGTAAGAATTTAAAAACTGGAAGTCACACAGGACAGGACAGGACAGGACAGGACAGGACAGGACAGGACAGGATAGGCT